GAGCTGCAGACGCAGCGGGTCATGGCCAACGTGCGGGAGCGCCAGCGCACGCAGTCGCTGAACGAGGCGTTCGCCGCGCTGCGGAAGATCATCCCCACGCTGCCCTCGGACAAGCTGAGCAAGATCCAGACCCTCAAGTTGGCGGCCAGGTACATCGACTTCCTCTACCAGGTCCTCCAGAGCGACGAGCTGGACTCCAAGATGGCAAGCTGCAGCTATGTGGCCCACGAGAGGCTCAGCTATGCCTTCTCCGTCTGGAGGATGGAGGGGGCCTGGTCCATGTCCGCGTCCCACTAGCAGGCGGAGCTCCCCACCCCCTCGGCAGGGCCGGAGACCTAGGTAAGGACCGGCGCCACCCTTCCCGGTTCAGGGGGCAGAAGGACTGACGGCCAGGCCGCGGGTCCCTGCCCACCGCGCCTTCCTCGCCCTCCCCCGCTATCCTCTAGCTTCCCCACCCCGCCTGGTACCGCCACCTCCTCCCCCAGCGTCCCTGGAGGCAGTTCGGTCAAGCTAGAGAGCGAGGGATGCGCCCTTGGGAAGGTGTGCGTGTGGGTGAGTGTGCGTGACAGACAGGAGGGGAGACGGAGAGAGTCAAGGGTCATGGGTAAGGACAGTGGCCAGCGCCTCCCTTTCTTTTGGCTTTCAAGTTTTCGTTCTTTTTTACAACCGATATGTTTCCAAATTCCACCTCCTTCTTTTCCGCCCACCCACTTCCTCTTGCCCTTGGGCTGAAATCCTTCCAGGTTGTTCAGCGTAACTTCTCGGTGGTGGTGATAAGAACAGGGCTCCCTACTCTTAGCAAACAGCCACAGAGACCTACACAATAACCAACTTTACCCCCTTTTGGGTTTTTGCAGATGTCATTGTTTCCAGAGAAGGAGAAAATGGACAGTCTAGAGACTCTGGAGCTGGATAACTAAAAATAAATCTATATGCCAAAGGTTTTCTTGGAAATTAGAAGAGCAGAATCCAAATTCAAAGAATCAGGGCGTGGGGCGCACTTTTAAAAGAGAAAGCGAGACAGGCCCGTGGACTGTGATTCCCAGACGGGCAGCGGCACCATCCTCACACCTCTACATTCTGATAGAAGTTTGAACAGTTGTTTGTGTTCCTTTTTTGTTTTTATGACGAAGAATGTTTTTATTGTTTTTTCATGCATGCATTCTCAAGAGGTCGTGCCAAGCAGCCACTGAAAGGAAAGGCATCATTGTGGACTTTCTCCTTTTTAAAATGGTAACAATCAGAGGAATTTTAAGAACACCTTTAGAAATAAAAATGCTAGAATCAAACTGACTTGCAAAATCACAGTCAGTGAATTCCTTTTTTCATTCTTCCTCTGAGGGGAAAAAAAAACCCTTAAAATACAAAAAACAACATTCTATTTATTTATTGATGACCCATGGTAAAATGCAAATAGATCCGGTGTCTAAATGCATTCATATTTTTATGATTGTCTTGTAAATATCTTTGTATATTATTTTTCTGCAATAAATAAATATGACTGAAAATTTTAATAACCGTAGAGTTTGGTCTATATTTTTAAAGCTTAGGATTAAGTTGGAGATAGAGACCTGCTTGTTTAACTCTGGAGGCACACAGGAGGGAGGGGATGCTAATATAAACAAAGGAGTGAAAAACTCAAATAAACTAGCTACTGACAGGTACAGGCATGTTATTTAGAAAGACAGCTTTATTATTATTCCAGTTTGTTGTTCAGAGGGCTTAGTAGCATCTCTCCATCTCGCATCAGGTCCCCAAATGGCAAAAACTTGAAATTTGTTATCCACCCCTCTTGCTTATATTTTGAAGAGGCAGTTATAAAACAGTTAAATGCAAATAAGCAGTATGAAGCCCGCACTATTTTGTCTTGTTACTGTCTTGCGTTGTTATCGTGCCCTCCAATTTTTGTGAGGACTCTTAGATAATGAATTTATTTCACTGAAAGGATGCATAAAGTGCTATTAAAATTATCAACCTATATACACATCTCAGTGAATATAAATGCTGAGAAAATAATGAAGTTTAATTCAGCAGGAAAGAGAATTCCATTTGTAAAGTAATTTGCTTATTAACTCCTCTTTCGTGAATGAAAATGGCATAGTGTCATGCTTGTTCAAAAGGATAGCCAAAGTTAAGAATATTTCCCCATTTTGATGTTATGCATTTGGGAGGCATGTTCCTTCTTTAAATATAGTGAACATGTGGAGTCAGATACAATTAACAAAGAACATGAACTTTCAGTTTCCTTGGTAACGATTGGGACAATTACAGTTTTAAATGCTATAGCTATTCATTTTCTAGTCAGTTCATTAGCAAACATTTTATTCAAAATTACACCAAATTTTTTCCTGTTAACATTATTTATACGAAATCTGATAAAGTTACGTAAAACAACAGGGACAAATGGTATTTGATTTTTATTTTATTCTGGGCCAGGAAAATCCTGGCTTTTATCATTAATATCATTAGAAATGCTAAGTTTGTATTGCTTAGTTCATAACTTTTACAGTGAGTTTACTGCATTCAAGTGTAAACAGAAAAACTTTCAAACTGGAAAGTAATTTTTCTGCCTAATTCAAACAATGACTGTGGCAGATAAGTATGAATGCAAACAGATCGAGTTTGCTCAGCTCAGATTGAGGTTATTATATTGCCAAAGGTTTTTGTTTCCCTCACCACACACCTTCACAGAATGCTGACTTAACAATATTGTAAATTTATTCTGAATAGTTTAGACCATATTTTACCATAGGAGGCTGATAGAATTTACTCATTAAAAGATGAGTGAAGGCTTGGGGAAGTAATTTTTGGGTTTTGGTAGTCCTTTACCAAATAATGAGATGGGGAAGTAATTATGTGTGGGTGTATTTGTGGAGTGAGTGAGTGTGTGTGTGTGTGTAGGGCAGAAATGTGAGGAGAGTGCTCTGGAAGGATGAGCATCAAGATGGTAATTCTCTTTTTGGTGTGTATTATCCAACCACCTCCATTTTCTAAATTGTTCATGGAGGAAACTCCTTGTTCACTAGCTTGGTCTGACTATTTGATATTTCAGATTTCTTGACGTACATCAGGATGGAGCTGACCATCATTGCTGAGAAGGTAATCTCTGTCTTATCTCTGATGACATAAAAACCAGAAGTTTCAAAAATAGGTAGTCTTCCATGTGCCTCTTTTTTCCTGGTGTTTTGCTCTCTCCATTTTTTTTTTTCATAAGAGAAAACACTTTGGAGAAAGCAAATGCCACATTTATAGTGAGTAATACTAAATACTAAACTGAAGGTAATATTTCCCCCTAGATTTTCAGAGAAATAAATGAATGAAAACAAGGTGGTGGCTAGTTTTACTTTGAGAAGAATTCAGTGTGGGAAATATCAACTATTAAAATACAATTTTCAGCTTGCAGACTATTTTTATATTTCCAACCTCCCCAACCCCAATACTCATGACGATGCCAGTTCTGTTTTAGAAGCAAAGCCACTTGTGTTTTTTCCCCCCTCCACCATTATTTCCTATTTCATTTTATTTTTGCTACCTATCCTTATTTGAAGAACGCTTAAAATGACTTCTGTTTTAGAAGTTAGAATTTCATCTGGTGGCTGGACCCAGGAGTCTTAACCAGAATGTATTCACTGGAGGACAAATATTGTATTAAACTGCCTTGGGTGAATTCTAAGCAACTGAGTAAGAATGCTTAAAGTGTACATAATTTTTTTGGTCTTGCTGTTAATGTCGTTGGCATTCACAGCGTCCAGTGAGGATTGATTGACAGGCGCCTGTCATAAGAAAACACCAAGTTTTTGTTCCCATGTACACACATTCCCCCGCTTTGTGCACAGGCTTGCTAAGCACATGCAGTTGGTAATTCATGCATAGTAGCAGGTACCCTTCCCCAAGTGGAACATGTAAAATAACGGAAACTCACACAACGTGTGCACTTCTTTCCCACACCCAACAACGGCACAGGCTTCTTGCGCCTTCGGTGTTCAGGCTCATATTCATAGTGGAGCTTTTTAAGGGGACACTTGGCCCCTTGCAAAAAAGTCGAGCATTTTGCACATTCCACGGTTTGGCAAACTCAGAACTGGTTATTTTCTCTAGACCGGTATCAAGTTCTTCTCAGGCATATGATTTCACTTGAAGTCCTGCCCAGGAATCCTTCAAAGTGAGCGTTTGTCCCGCTCTCATGATGTCAGGCGGTTTTCCCTGCATCTGTAATTTGAAGAAAAACAAACAAACCTGCGGGGAACAAACGCCACGGAAACCCAAACAGAGCTCGGTGGGGAGCGGGAGCCTCACCTGCAGCGGGCTCCGGAGGGGACGCGGGCCCCGACTCCCCTGCGTGG